CTAGCCTGACCCTAAACTGTTGTATGACCATAGGCAAGTCACTTCCCTCTGAGCCTCCGTTTTCCCATCTGCCAAATTACCTTCTTTTGTAACTCACTTAAAGGTCTATGGAAGAAACACACTATCTACGTATTGTTATTATTAACCTTAACTGCAGGGGTCGTTAGTAGCTATGTTATCTTTACAAAGAACAGCTGGTCTGGTGTGGCAATCTGATCCCCAGGAGAAGAAGCAGAATACAGCTGATTCCTACAGCAAACAGCAAATTCCTACAGATAGGAAATTACGTGTTTCAAAGCAACCTGACGCTGTGGTTTAAAAAGCTTCTTCCAGTCTGATAAACACTGTGCTATACTGTCTTCAAAACTGTTAAGCCACATGAAAGCCACCTTCTTTACAGAGACCTCTACAGACTCAAATTACTGAGTGTCCTAAAGAAATAATCTGTGCTTTTCTTAAGTGAATGATGCGCCACACACTGCTGACTTGTGGCACAATTCCTTAAATTCAAGTCTTAGGGTATGTCTCCACAGCAACTGGAGGTAGACATGCCCATGCCAGCTCTGATCAATCTAGTGTGCTGAAAATAACAGCAGAGCCGCCGCGGCTGCACATAGGGTGTCAGATGGGAACCACCATTTGCTCCACTTGTTAGTGTGCTATATCAATCAGAGCTAGCATGTGTATATCTGCCTGAGCTGGGAATTACACCTCCAGCTCCAACATAGACATACCCTTAGTATTTTTGGACTGAGCCTAGCTCAGTGTGTTCCAGGCACACTGTCTTCTATTTGAACCCACACTGCATGTTAGTCTATGGGGACATTTTTGGATCGATGCTGGCTTGCCTGGCTAGATAACTCAGGGCAGTTTGCTCTCTCTCTTCTAGATCCCATTCTAGAACAGTGTGCACAGGGAGGTTCTGATGCCTTGAGAAGGTTGTGTGAATCACTTCTGCTGCATAATTCTGCCCTCCACCCCCACCCCTGCCATCTGCCTCCTTCCACAGGGGGTTAAAAAAAAATAGCCAGTGGGTACAGAGAATAGTTGCAATAGGAAATGATTGTAGTCCCCAGAAATGAATCCTGATGTTTTATTATTTATGATAGTGCCTAAGAGGGTCAACTGTGCTAGGCGCTGTACCAATATATAGTGAGAAACAGTCCTTGCCCCCAAAGAGCTTACACTCTGACTAGACAAGAACGACACAGGGTGGGAGAAAAAAAGGATTATTTTTACATGGGAACAGAGGCACAGAATGATTAAGTGACTTACACAAGGTCACAAAGGGAGCTTGTGGCAATGTCAAGAATTAAACGTGGATCTCCTGAGTCCTAGTTTAGGGCTTTAACTGCAAAGCTACTCTTCTTCTCTACAGGATAGCACAAGCAAGGAAATACATATGCACTCTATGGGGACATTTTCTGCTTCGATTTACACTGGTGTATGTGAGAGCAATTTGCCTCATGAAATAAACAACATGAATCATTTTATTCTGACTGTAAGCTACCTTTGTTTTCTAATAACGACTTATCAGGCAACACTGAAGGCAACAGAAACTGAAGCTGAGACACACTCCTACCTGCTTCAAGTTAGTGTCTAAGCTACATTATTGAATCAGTGCATAGCAAGACAGTCTATCCCATTTCTATTCTCCGAGACATTCGCTTTGAGTTCTCTCATCTTCTAAGTAAGGAAACTGTCCAAACATGTGGATGGTAACATCCCAGAGAACGAAGTATAAATCTGTCCTTAACTATGGTGCCAGTGGAGACTGGACCTCTGGATCTAAAAGCTTCTCCCTGCTGAGTTAAAGGACCAGGTTCATTGGCTTGGATGCAGAAGCAGATCCATACACCTCTTCTGAAATCTGGCCAGTAGATGAGGACAAATACCCTCCTTGTGTTAATATGGGTTACAGAAAGAAACCTTTTAATTAATGAAAACTTACCATCGGCCTCTCTCACAACCACAGTAAAGTATTTCACAGCTCCATTGGTGTCACTGAACCAGCTGCAGTTGAAAGTAAAGTTGATGGAAGATTTGGTAATGAGAGCATCCTTTTTGTTCACTCGGATGTGGAGAGGTGGAGGAGGGGGGCCTGGGAAAGAAGAGAGTGGGAGGGGGAAATAAAGTACATCACCATCTATATATTTTTAATTACATAATAACAACAAGTGGTGCAAATCTCAACAAAACTCAACCATTTAGACCCAATGTCTCTCATATTATGCTCTTTGCAGTCACAAAGTGTATCCCTCTTCAGCAGAGAAGCGGCCAGAAGATGTAACAGTCCAGCAGTGTTTTAAACATAATGACAGAGGCAGCTCCTTACAGTAGGATTTCTTGCAGAAGCTGCCCAGGATTGTATTAAAGTCTCATTAAATCCACAGAGTCTTAAATTATAGCCGCTAAAATAGCATTTTCAGAGGTGGGTTCAATCCCAGGTACTTTGAGACCATTGAGGCTGCAGATAGAAATTTGGTTTTAAACAGCTAGATTTCCCCCTCTCACACCAAATGGAACAATAAACAATATCCAAGGAACAATACACAACACGGAATCAATTAAGCAAATAATTTACACATGGATGATCTGATATCAGATTTACAGTACTGCTTCCATAGGGAACTGGCAGTTGTTTCAGCCATATGTCTAAACAAGCTATACATCAGGAACTAAACGGAAAAGGCAAAAGAGGAAGGGGGAAATAAAGCACATCTGATGCAAGCCTCCCAATGGAACACTACGACACTATAATAGAGATCGCAGCTAAATGTTTTCAATAACCTATACAGCCACATATACTGTGTCAGTATCTACTGTTTAATAGTCGTGGCCAAAATTTAAAGGGTTTCAGTGTGGATAAGGAACCAATAGTTCACATGCTTATTTGAAGCCTAACCAGATATCTTTGATCTGTAAGACGAGTCTGGAATTCTTGGGAGAGCTGGCTCCCTCGTGGTATTTAGACAGTCCTGCTTCCAGGGTCAACCAGAACCTGATAGTGCAGAGATGTCTAAAAATGAAAATAATGGAGAACAGTTAAGCCTTCAAAGAAGTTCTGTTGCGGTTTCTGGTGCTGCTCAGGTTAGCTCTGATTTTATCTGAACTCATAGCATCTCTTGTAGTAGAGAAGAGACAGTGCTTGGTTGCAATTCATGTGAAGGGCGGGTGTTACCACGCTCTTTTTCCCCAGGCTCTGGGCAGGGCCCCAGCACTCATTGGGGTCACAGCTCTGGAATGTCTGGGTGGTTTTCCCACTCCCAGTCTTAAGAGGCCCAGCCCACTGGCTGGGCCCCAGATAGCCTGCCCCTTCTAGGGTTTTCAATGAACAGAAGAAAGGGGAATTGATCCAAATGAATGGTCCCAAAGCTGGGTTAAGGCTCTCTTCCTTCAGAGGGCACTCATCAGGCTGTGGCCCTAATCCAAGTTCACCAACACACAGAGAGGAATAGTCTCCTTTCAAGGTGAGTCAGCATCAGGTTCTCCCTTCCTTCAGGGAGGGGCCATTGGGCAGTGGCTGCCCAATAGGGCTCCTACATTCAGCCATCCCTTTTTCCAAGATCTGCTCTCCTCCCTGATCTGTCATCAACTGAACTGGGTTTCTCCCTTTTAAGTTCCTCCCTCCAATTCTGACATCTCTCAGCTGAGTCCCCATTAGCTCATTAACTCCTTGTTGCCCAGTGTAGGATTTGTATACCCCATCACAGAGGGGTTTTTTTAGTGACTGGACTCTGTAGTTCTCCTTGGCTTTACACAGCCAAGGGGGGACTGGTGACCAGACCTCTCAGTCACACTATACTTCATCCATCAACTATACTTCATGGAACATTTGGCCTTGGGGGTAATTAAGGCTCCCTGTCATGCTGTACCACCCAGAATGGAGGTGACCCATGGATTGCCACAACTGGCTGGCAGTACCTCCCTCCTTGTGTATGTTGTTGAGAAGCTGCAAGCTGCCATTTGCCACCCATCTGTAGCCCAAGGGAGGAGCCACAGGAGAGTATGGGAGGACTCTGCAGAGCAGTGCTCCTCCTTCATCTCCACTGCCTGAGGCAAGCTCATCATCTGAGAGAAGAGGGAGTAAAGCCTGAAGAAGAGCCACTGCCCCAACTTCCTGAAGGCTCTAGGTAGCTTCCCACTATTTTGACTTGGCGATGGCATTTGGTGAGAGGAAAGGGCCAGGGGGTAGCAAAGAGGCAAGCCTGGGGGAGAACAAATGGGCAGTTGTAGGCTGTATGACTATAACAATTGTTTGTAAGTTTGTTCTCACTGCATGAGTCAAATAAACCAGTTCTACAATATGATTCACACAGTGATAAAACATCCTTTAAAGCAAGTTTTATAGTTTAAGTGCCTTATAATCTGGCACAGCATGCAACTAAACACAGGTGTTCCCCATTTTGGTCACTGGTCACACATTTTGGTGGCTGGTGTGACACAACAGGCAGGTCTGGAGGTCGAAAAGTCTGCTGACTAACCAACCAGATGATAGATATCTGTTCACCTTCTCCCTCCATGCCACTGTACCTATGTATTTGGTACATCAAGGACTTACGGTCTATCATAGTGATGGTGCTGTCTTCAACTACCTCACTAGTCATGTCTGCAGACTGCACTTTGATGGACACCAAGTATCTCTTGTGGGGTACTAGCATCATGATATTTTGCAAAGATCTTTCTTTCTCTATCCTTTTGGAAAACTCAACTTCTCCAGTGTCCATTTTTTTGCATTCAATGCTATATCCATCGAAGTCAGAGTCAGGCGGGGTCCAGGAACATGCAATGGCAGTAGAGTTTTGTGGCCGGCAGTGAAGGTTTTGTATTCTGTCTGGTCCTAAAGATGGAGGAGAGGTTGAAAAAGCTGAAGTGTAACGTAAGAGAGGACATGCATTATACATTTTGTGCTCACTCTATGGCTCAGGCCATCATTCTTAGCACTTGAGTCTAAATTAATCATTTAATTAGAGCAAAGGGACTAAGAGTCAGGATTCCTAGCTCTACCGCACACTTGCTGAAAGATTTTAGGCAAGTCACTTGACCTCATTTTATCTATGTGTAAACTGAATTAATGCCATCGACCTCCAAAGAACTGTGACTCGTCAGTAATTAATTGTAAAAAAACTTTTCAGATCTTCTGAAGAAAGCTACAATAGGAATCTAACATATTATTAGAACTATGGTACAACTGGAGCTGAAACCTAGTTATAAAAAAACCTCATCATACAGCGTAATTGAAATGCATACTTCTTACAATTAAATGTCCATATTATATAGCACACGCTCTACAGTGAAAGGCACAAATGTTTAACGTGCTATTTATAAACTTCTTTTTCCTTTCAGCCTTATTTTCCACAATTGTCCAAAGAAATAAATTATAGCTGAAGAACCAAGTACTGTACAATGCAAAAGAGGGAGCTAAAATAGCAGGAATTAGTAAATTACCCCTCAGCTCCTTGTAGCAAAAATACAAGGTTACTAAATAATATAAGATAATTTAAAATGTTCTAATTAAAGGAATACATTTTGACACAGCACCACAAAAATGAAATTAAATCAAGGCATCATTGTCAAACTAACTTTCAAGGTGAAAAACTAGAGATGCATGTTAAAAAAAAAACCACCACCCCAAAACCAAAAAACCAACAACTAAAAACATTCGAATAATACTTGGAAAAAGGTCTAACACAGGGGTCGGCAACCTTCGGCCCGCCAGCGGATTACCCCGATGGGATACATGCTGAAGGTTGCCGACCCCTGGTCTAACCACTGTTGTCCTTTGAGATCCTAAATATAAAAAGCCCAAGTTTTTCAAAAAAGTGATGAATAATTATAGGTACTAACTTCCGAAACTTTAAAGTGGCCAGATTTTCAGAGGGTAGGTGCTTAGCACTTTCTGAAAATTAGGCCCCCTTAAAAAGTTTTGGGCATCCCAAGCCATCAGTCACTTCTGAAAATCTTGGCCTGAGCACTCTTTTTGAAACAAATCATCTTACAATTACAAAGTATCAACTAAGGAGTACGGTAACCCTACCTAATAAACATGCCCATAATGTTAAAGCCTTTACATTTCCCTCCAGCATAAAATCAATGCAAGGAACAAACTGATCACAGACCTCTGCAGGAACAAAAGTGAACAGTATTTTCCTTCTAGAATGTGACCCTGTGATTTCCACCCACTTATATCAGGTGTGAATTTCCACTGAGAGAAGTCACAGAGTACATAGTAAATTTTTTTGGTTAAGATTTTGACCTATACTCTGTGTGTATATATACACGCATGTACACACTTACCCGCCCGCAAAGTATAGACCAAAGCTTCACCAAATATCTGTCACGTTGCTTAGCTTTTTCATGACTCCTCTCCATCCACCCTCTCGACCCAACTCCTTTTCAAACATAGCCCAGTTTTGCAGGTCTTTTGTGGAAGAAAACTAAGGGGGCTAAATGGTGTGTGCATATGAATGTCCTTACCATTCCCCTTTCCCCTCTATATGGCACTATCACTAAGAAGACTTTTTGCTGTAGTTACACTGCCTCCTGATGTGATTAGGGAAAGAAGCATAGCAGCTGACATCTTTATTCTGTCCTTTTACTTCTCCAATTGGCACTTTGCATTCAAGTGGCAAAATTTTGCGATTTTGCCGCTTAAAATGTTTGCAAGGTGTAACATGCAAAGAAACTAAAGGGTATAAAATGAAAGTTTAGGCCATCTAGTCTATATTTAGCAGTTAATATCTGCAGGTTATCACAAGACTAGTAATTCAGTTGAATAATCAGAAATGGAAACCACAACACAGTCCTCTCATGGGTAAGAGGACAAAAGTCACATGACCTATGTGTGAATCTGGTTTGCTGTGTAACCAGGAGCGGCGCCAGGGTTTTTGGCGCCCTAGGCGGGGGTCCTTCCGTGCTCCCGGTCGTCGTCGTCAATTCTGCGGCGGGGGGTCCTTCCGCGCTCCTGGTCTTCGGGGCACTTCGGCGGCAGGTCCCAGAGCGAGGGAAGGCCCTGCTGCAGAATTGCCGCCGAAGACCCGGAGCGTGGAAGGACCCCCCACCACCGAATTGCCGCCAAGAGCAGCAAAATGCCCCCCCCCCAAATCCTGGCGCCCTAGGCGACCGCCTAGGTCACCTAAATGGAAGCACCGGCCCTGTGTGTAACATATGAAATGCCCATCTCAACGAGGCATGTCTATGAAGTATTTCACTGTGCAAAATATGGGTTTTAGTTACACCATATGAGGTACAACATATGACCCAAAGTACAAATTACTGTACGTTCCAAATAGTTCCCCATGGTTTAGCTATTCTGCCCATTTCAGGGCAGACTTCTCACCAGACTGTTAATGAGATCAGCTGGACTCAGATAAATATGGGTGGAAGCCACAAAGATTGACAAACAGCTATTGAGAGGAAAGGAACTCTTTGACTTTACTTTTTCAAATCTACTATACCCAAGTCCTTCTTGTGCCCCAGGAACACATTTCCTTTTTGATTGCTCAAAATATCTTGATGGACCCACTCCACATTTCAGAATCTAAATAATCCTGAACTTCAAAAAAGTTTGGATTTGAATCAGAGACAGGCCAGCAGCAAAAATTGACAAAATGCTTAGAAAACCTGATCTTCGAGGAAGTTAAAAAAAAACTGGGCATGTTTAGTCTTCAGAAAAGAAGACTGAGCGGGGACCTGATAACAGTCTTCGACTGTGGTAAGGGTTGTTATAAAGGGGACAGTGATCAATTGTTCTCCATGGCCACTGGAGATAGAACAGGAGGTAATGGGCTTAATCTGCACCAAGGGAGATTTAGGTTAGATATTAGGAAAAATGTTCTAACCATAAAGTTAGATAAACTTTGGAATAGGCTTCCAAGGGAGGGTGTGGAATCCTCATCCTTGGAGGTTTTTAAGAGCAGGTTAGACAAACACCTGTGAGAGTTGGTCTAGGTTTACTTGGTCCTACCTCAATGCAGGGGGCTGGACTTGATGTCTTCCCGAGGTCCCTTTCAGCCCTACATTTCTCTGATTCTATGATAAATCGAAACCTGGAGCCAAATCGTCCAGAATTTCAGGAATGTTTTGATCTGGATCTGAATTTTGCAGCTTGTGTTCATTTCTAATCTTTAAATACTTGATGTAGGAAAGGACAAAGAAACATTTTGATTTCCACTTGAATCCATATCCAGACATTCTTGAATCAGCTAGTATAAATTAATAAATGCTTAACTGGGATGGGTAAGATTTAACTCATTGGCCACACTGTTTCAGCATCATCTCCAGATGAGCACTAAGGGTTCAATAAAAAATGGGTTCCTACTTGTTCTCACAGTTCCAGACAGTGATTGACTGTATGTCTTCCAGGTGTTGCCGCTGACGCTCCTGACACTGAAATGATAGAGCCGCCCCGGTCGAAGGCCATACATGATGCGTCCCTTTGATCTGCTGTTGCTGTACGGGTTGAAGACTGTAAGGGGATCTCTTGGGAACCATTGCAACTCAAAGTCATCATAATCCGTCCAGTCTGGGGGACCCAGCCAGGTGATTGACAGGGAGGTGTTTGCAACATCAGCAAATGATACAGCACTAGGAGGACTGGGTGCTAGACAGAAGGGGCAAAATGAAAAAAAAAAGTCTCATGACATTTGCACACAGGATGGGTATGTGAGACAAAACAGACATTATCTTAGACTTCTTCATTTCTCTTCAGCCTCTGCACTGTAACATTGATAAGAAACAGGACTCTGAACAAACCACTCGGACTCTGATTTCTTTCCTGCCATTAATGTAATACCGTTTATGATTGTCTTACTTGTACTTTTCTATGCCTTTAATAATTCATGCAATAAAAATCTTATCTCAGAATAAATCCATCACATACCAATGAACTGCTGTAAATTCTGACAGTTGGGGGCGAAAAGCCACTGCAGTTCTTTACCTGTTCTTCCCTCAGTCTTTGCTGTATTGGTCAGGTCACCGCTGTGGGTCACTACAACCAGGGTGTACTTTCTGCCAGGAACTAGGCCCAGGAAATGCCACTCTCTCAGGTCTTTCCCATTCCTTGTTTCCTTCTGTGTGCCATTTGGGTTATAAAGATTCAGCTCATAATAATCTACATCTCCTGATGCCGGTCCCCAGGTGAACCACAGACTGTCCGTCATGTTTCTGTTGGAGCCGTTGAGATTAATAACTGGGGCTGGAACTGAAAGAGAGGGTACACAGTTACTACATGCTGAATGTTTTGGGGAAGAATAGTGCTACGGTAGTGCTGTGATAGTGGCCATATAAAGATCTAGATACATAGCACAGGTGGCCAAAAACCAGGAAACAAATTTTGGGAATTTCAGTGTGTGTGTGTCGGGGGGCGGGGGGAGTACTGGGAGATTAGAGGAGGTTTTGCGGGAGCAACATAGCTCTTACAAATGCCTACAACACCCTGCCATCTGGCAGTGTGGAGACAAAGGTAAGCTGAAACTAGTGCTGATCATGAATAACTTTTTCATTTCACTGTTAGCTACCTTGTCTTCCCTCTTTACCATTTGTTTTGCCCACTTGTTGCATCTTATCATAAACCAGTGTTGTAAGCTCTTTGGGGCAGAGGGCTGTCTTTTTATTTATACCTGTATAGCGCCTAGCACAATGGGGCTCCTGCCCTTGATTGGGACACCTAGTACCACTGGGCTGCAGATAATAAATTAGGGCACTATTTATATATTTATTATCTGAAAACAGTGGTCACATAATTTAGAATTTAGCTTCCTTTTAGGTAATGCCTTTGATGTATCAAGACAGTTTGGACACTTCTAGTAGCTTTACTAGACTCTAGTACCAGCTTTTGGCTATTAGAGTAGCTCACCGATGTCCTTAAGGAAGATTTCATTGGGGATGGATTATCCTGCTAGATGCTCCTACCTGTTCTTCCAAATACAGATGACTCATTTGTGAGCTCTCCACTGTGGGTAACAATCACCATTTTATACATCCTGCCTTGCCGCAAGTTCTGGAAAGAACACTGCTGGAGGTTCGGGTCCCCTGAAATTCTGCCCTGGAGGGATTTGTCTGGATTGTACAGAAAGATATTATAGGAGTCCAGTTCTCCCTGGGAGGTAGTCCAGCTGAATGATAGGCGTCCATTGGTGTTTTCTGTGACCTTCAGATTTGTGACAGCGGATGGGACTGGAAATAGGGATAAATACAGGAGAAAATGTCAGAGTTAGTAGTAACTAAGCTAAATCTCAGTAAAATGACGCTTATGACTAGAAGAAGTTTCTGTTAAGCCACTGTGAACTACATTCACATAACGTAAATGCACAAAAACAATGACGTCCAGAAACAAGATGAAAACTTTTGTAAGTTATAGATGCCATTTAGCAACACATATGTAATATGTGTGATACCCAACAGGCTCAATCCTCCAGTCTAGACTCACACAAAACTTCCCTTTAACATCAATATGAAGTTTTGTCTGAGAAAAGGTGGTGACACCTGCAGTATATTTGTATTCAACTTGGCGCTAGGATCCTATATAAGCCAAGTGAATTTAAGGATAGACAATAGAAAGAGTTAACATGGCTATATAATGGATATGCTGAGAGATCCTTAACTATAGCAACACTCCTCAACTCTCTGCTTCAATATACAATGCACTACAACCTGGAAAAGCCACACCACTTTGTAAGCAATTTTCAATTTTTTACATTAAACATGTCAGAAAAACAATGCATTGATACCAGGAGACTGGTTCCTATTGGAGCTTTTTGGATAACTAGATATTTGGAGGAATCATTATATTCATACCATATCTTACTGCAGATACTGTAAATAAGGCTGAAATGTTCTAACTACCTGTTCGGCCTTCAGTTTCTGCTCGTCTGCTGAAGAGCCCACCGCTGACTGTCAACATTTGCACTTTATACTTCTTGCCTGGTATTAAATCTTCAAATTTGTGCTGTTTAGCAGTTGCTGGCTCTGATTTATTGCTCAGAAGGATACCTTGCTCAGTCAAGAGCAGGATGTCATATCTCTCAGCCACTCCAGGAGCACTGTGCCAGGTCACTAACAAGGAATGACTGCTGTAGGCATGATCTGCAAATAATCCCTGGACAGAGGCAGGAACTGGGAACAATTAAAGAGATTGTGAGGTTAATTTTGTATCACTTAATATGTGTTTGTGGATTATCTTAATTAACTATGAAAAATATTTATGTATGTCGGCACATACAGATGCATATGGTGTATGTATGTATATGCACGCGCGCACACACACACACACAAAAATTACTTTCAGATGGAGCTAAGCTTAAGAAAACCCATCAGTAATTTAGGGTAAGATGTATTACAGGGATCTTGTAATTATCTCCAAACCAAACATTATACATTCAGGAAATTCAGAGTGAAGGTTAAACTTAAAAAAAAAAAGTATGAATGTTTATCTATGGAAATGCATCAGTAGGGCACCCAAACAACCTTAACTCTGCACCAAGTACCATACAATAATTATATGATTATGGTTAAGGCACTTTAGAACTTGTAGATTAGATTAAACGGATTTTGAAAGACACCGATTTTTTTGTTCTACCAATAGTGGTGAATTGAAATAATTTCTATTAAACTCTACTTCATAAAATGGACTAAACTGAGCTGAAAAGACAGCTGGCAATCTGATTGGGGACACTTGTACTCAAGGAGGTACAGGCCTTTTTTGAAATTCTGTAAACACTGGAAGTTAAACTGGAAGGACAGCACATGGGAGACTAGATGGAACGTGAGCCGTTGTGGTCCTGATTTCTGAATATTTTGGCTGCACATCTCGCTTTCATAGTTTGTGTACAATACTCCAACATCATTAGAAAAGTTGCCTGTTATGCACATCTCTGTTCATTGTGTCTGCTCTATATAAAATTACATACATTAATTAAAAAAATTAAAATAAATACATTTGGGGAGAGTATAGAGTATGGAATGCAATGATGGAAGGCTGGCTAACCCATTAAATGATACAGTTTTATAGTTTTGTGAAATACGATGTAGCCTTCTCTCCACAAGCTCCCCTTGAAACCAGGAGAGACTGATTTAAAGTTTGAACACAAGGGGGAAGTTTCTCTGCCCCACTCTTTTCTCTCCAGCAGTGCAAAGAGAATGGAAATCATCTGCATATCCCCAACTTTTAATTTCCTCAGCATGGGAGAGACCCTAGCAGGCAAAGAGCCAGCTCTAGGACAAACTCCCCACAACTCTGGTGGCTGAAGGGTGGAAGGGAGATGTAGGGGGTGTGTTGTGCTCTGGCTACCTGCAGCTGGCAGACAGCTCCTTGGGAATGAATTAGAGAACAGTAATCAATACCCTGGAGACTCCTCCCCTCCCCCTTTCTCTGCTTCATGGAGCATAAATTCACAAAGCAGACTCCAGCCCACGGCTATTGAATGTTGTTCTAACAGAAGCTGCATACTTGTTTATATAGTCATACCTAAGAAATAATATAAGATAATATGAAAGCTGGGGCCAAAGTAATGACTAGGCAGCCTACTCTCCAATATTGTATTCTCACCCTCTTGTTATAGCTGTCATTGTTCATGGCTGAGACACTTAGAACTCATCCCTTGGCCTCAGGTTACATTCCTTTTTCTTCCAGTGTGTAAAGTAGCTCAAGCACACCAAGACCAAGGTGGGGTAGGGATAGCGATGGAAAGAGGAGGTGTAGGGGGGTGGTTTCTAGAGAGTCATGGCACTTGGGACAGCAGAGAAAGGGATGATCAGGGGAGGGTTATTTAAAAAAAAAATTGAATGACCAGGAAGAGAGAGAATTTATTTAGCTTTAAACTACAAAGAGGGTATGTGTGTGTGCGTGCGCATGCACACACACACACACACGTGTGTGTAAATAGCTGAAAAATCATCACAGGTTTCAAAGGAATATAAACAAGTATTAAAATGCAAAGAAGCAACAAAACTGTCAAAATAATAGGCAAGACAGGCAAGATCTCAGCCAAGGGCTACTCCCCCTAAAAGCCCAGTCCCTAAGCAAAACAGATGCACACACAAAAAGAGGAAGAGGATTTAAATCATGATATTGAGTTGCATCTCTTCCCTACCCTATACAGGGTCTATATATTGTCTGGGAGGCCTTGATTATGCAGTGGGCTCTGCTAACACACACCTTATGTCTGTGTGGAGTCCCACTGGTTCCTCTGGGATTCCAGGCAGGCATAAGAGGCTGCATTAGCAGATCCCATGGCAGAGTTTGGACTGGAGGACCCAGTCTCACAAACATTTACTCAAGTAAAGTTGCTCACATGAGAAGTCCCATTGACACCAATGTGACTATTCACACTAGCGAAATTACTACCATGTAGGTTTGCAGGATCAAGCCTTCAAGCCTTGTGACAGGGACCCATCTCCTTACACCTCCGAATCTCCCCAGACACTGTGGGACACCATATAGACAAATAATAAAATACTGTTATAAAATAGTACTAATCTGATGGGAACGTATGACACTTTTTGCCCTTTTTCCATGAAGAAACATACTTGTACGTCCGAGAGCTGTTAAACTGTTGTGCAGGGTGCCGCTGTTAGACTGTACCACAATCCGGTACTGCTCTCCTGCTTCTAACTTGCTGAAGGTATGCTCGTAGATAGGCTTGGAGACAGTCTGGGAATCAAGCTGATAGTTTTGATGGAATAGTGTCACTGTGTAGGAATCAACATCTCCTCCTCCAGGAGTCCAGTTCACTTTCAGGCTGTTTGTCATCCCATTGGCTGAAACGTGAATGTTTTTGACAGCACTTGGAGCTGGGGGAAAAAAACCAGAAAGACGGAAACCCCAGCTCAGAAATTTTCATTCCATTCAAATATTTCAAATACTGGTATGTCTGTAGCTGCAGCAAATGGAATTCTGAAGTCTACATCAGGAATGAGTACAAAAGGAAAAGAGACTATTGTACTTATGAGGGGCCTAATTTTGCAAATACGTACATGTATGTGTAACTTTACTCCTGTGAGTAGTCCCACTACTTGTGTTAGTGAAGCTGCAGATGTGTGTAAGTATTTGCAGGATTGTGCCTTAGCAATGTATAACACCGTACCTCTCTCTTTCTCTTTATTCATAAGAAGAATGATATATCTTTCCAGAGACAATAAAGAAAATAAAAGAATACTGTTGTAGTTCCTTTGTCTAGTTATCTTTAAATTCTGCAGATAATATTACACAAGGATCTTTCTTCTGAGAATGTAAAAATTCTTTACAGATGTTAATGCATTAAACATCACAAAACCTGCTTGTAGTTATGTAATAATATACTTATTTTACAGATGGGTAAATTGGGGAGATGACTGAGATGTTAAGTAATTTCACCAAGGTCACAAAAGCAAACAAGTGGCAGAACAGTGTTTTAAAAGCTGTTTTCTCTTACCTGTCAGTCCTTCGATGAAAGTGGCACGTTGTGTGTCTCCACTGATTGTCAAGACAAGAATTTTGTACAGGCGCCCTGGGGTTAAAGCTGTGAACCAATACTCCTCAATGGTGTTTCCAAGGAAAATGGGTGGAAAGACCTTCATATCATTGAAAAGTAGCTGAATCTCATACTTATCGACATCCCCCTCAGCCTTTGACCACGTAACTTGCAGGTCTTCAGTGCTTCTGTTACTAAGAGTCAATTCCTTCACTGACTCCGGCACTGAAAACACAATAGAAAAGAATAGCAGATAAACTCTTCGGGTCATCATTATTCTGACCATTGCCAAGGAACATGACTTGAAATACCTCTTGTGATGTAAACCTTAGCATGCAAAATATTATTGAAACGAATGGAACCATCTTTTTGTTCTGTGTTTGTACAGAGCCTAGCACAATGGTCGGTCCATGACTAGGACTTCTAGGAGCTACCACAATACGAAAAATAAAATAACAAATAAATGAATAAAAGCATGGATAACTCTCTTTCTGCACCTCCAGTCTGTCACATGAAAAACCCTTTTGAAAGAGGGAGATTCTATATGTGTTGTCATTGCTTTTTAAACATAAATAACGGGTTGACATGGCAAAACCATACAACTTCGATTTTAAATATGCTATATTTTATCTCAGAATTTACAACCCTAAACAAACATATGTTTTTTTTAAATTTTCTCCATGTCTTTAATTAGACATCCACTGTAACCTAGTTGCCTCCTTTGGTCTTTAAAGCAACACACGTTTGAAGAGCCAAGCTATCAGCAGCAGATGGTAAAACAAGATTACTTTTTTAACTGTGTACTGTAAATAAAAATGCCCTCACTCCAATCAGAACTCTCTCAGGATATTCTCCAGGGTATTTACTCACTTGTTCTGCCATTGATCCTTTTACTAGTCTCATATTTTCCACTCTGTGTGCTAACAGTGACACTGTATTGCCTCCCCGGGACCAGTTTAGTGAACACACATTCATTTTCATCCTTGGGGACTCTTTTTGTTTGGTTGAAGTCATTGTTGTTCTTGATGATCACTTTATAATTATCAAAATCTCCAGTGGCATGCAACCAGGACACCTTTAAATAGTCACTTCTTGCTGAATTGCTGACAGTAAGTCCCTGCACGCTTGAAGGTACTGGGGGGAGGGGGGACGAGAGGTGGGTGTGGGGGAAGAACACAGGCAAAGAATTAGGGATTCTGAAACAATAAATGCGTCACACAGAATATCCTGAGAAAAGTAACAGAGCACAGGCACTGCCATACCAGATTAACTCAGTGGTCAAGTATCAGATACTTCAGAGAGAAGTGCAAAAACCCTTGCAGCCGGCAGTTATTGACTAGCCTGCCCACTGGGAACATTTCTTCCTAACTCCCATTAATTAGGGCTTGGCTTATACTGTGAGACATGAGGGCTGATCCCTTAACAGTGGGGTTTGTTTGTTTGTTTGTTTGAATTCTTGCTATTGTAACTCTGGCTGTTCTTGTTATCCACATACAAGTCCAATCCTTTTTGGAATCCTGCTACACTCTTTGCTTTAATGCTATCATATAGCAATGAGTTTCATAGGCTAATCTGCAGTGTATGAAAGACTATTTCCTTTTATTAGTGCTAAATTTGCTACCTTTCTATTTCACTGACTGTCCCCTTGTTGTTCTATTAAGAGAAAGGGGGTTATTTTGCATATCTATATCTTGTCCCCCCCTTATTCCTCTGCTCTCTCAGATAAACAGTCCTCATATTTTAAATTTCTCTTCAGATGGAAGTTTTTCCATACCTCAGATCATTTTTATCACCCATCTCTGGCTCCCCTCTATTCCTGTTATATCCTTTTTGAGATAGCCTGTCCAGAAATAAAGGTGGGAGTTCACTTATATTATGGCATTATATTATTTCCAGTATCACTTTTCATGCCATTCTATTTGTATCTGAACATTTTATTAGCCTTTTTGGACCACTACCATACAGGATAGTACATGAAGGGCCAACTTACAGGGTCTGGGGAACAAAGTGCTTGAGTCAAAACTGTCATTTGATCTCAGCTCACCATGAGGGCTGCCAATTTTCGACTAGATTTTGCCCTTTCACAGAAGAAAGAGCTCCTTATTGCCTCACTTACTTTGGGGTCAAAATTACTGTCCTGGTGAAGAGAACCAATTATTCTAACTAAGGATGGCCTTCCTACGCACTCACATTTTTTACTCCCAATCCTCCTTTGGTTATGATACAGTGAGGCTTTGGGCCAGATCCTCTTCGCATTGAAGTTAATTGAGCTTTTGTCACTGACTGCAATGTGAGGAAGATCAGGGGGTCTGATTCTCATTTATGCTAAGGCCACTTTACATTGTCAGTGTGGTGTAAAGTAGCCCTACAGTCATAAATGAAAAGCAGGCCCTAAATCTTAAGCACTGTAGTTTTAGAACTTGATCTTCCAATCCAGCTCATGTTTTGGTTAGCCATTCCTGAAAGCACAGATCATCGCAAAGGACTGATCATGGGAGATGCGTGTGACTGAATCCACACAGAGCCCCTTTTCTTTCTGTCCCCTTTACCTGTTCGTTCCTGGCTGAAGGAATGATTTTCATACTTCCCGCTCTTTGTGGTTATCATCACATTGTAGAGCCTGCCGGCAACAAGGCTGCTGAAAGAACATTCACTGAGGGCTTTGGAAATGGTTAGAGTCTGAACTGTCTGGCTGTCATGAGAGAGTGTTACCAAATAACTATCCACGTCTCCGGTAGCTGGCAGCCAGGAAACACTGAGGTAGTCGCTCCGTCCCGAATTATTCACCGTTACTCCGCTCACACTGGAAGGAACTGCGCAACAAAAGAAAAAAGCAGCAGAGCAGTTTTAAATAGCTTATTCCGATTGTTAAAGGCAGCAGGAATGCGTGGAATGTGACCAAGCAAAACAAAAACGGTGAGGAGTCTTTTTTAGTATTAGGAAGCCTTGCACTCCACGTAAGTAGCAAACATCTGAGTTTCTGAGCAAAGACAGTGAAGTTATTGTCTATGGTGGTGAGGTCAAGGCTCTGAATGCACGTCTAATATCCTAGAGTGTTAGCTCTCCTCCGAAAGTGCTATTCCTCACCAATAAAAATAACCACAAATCCCTTTATCATTTTGAGACCAATGCAAAGATTTATTTCTAATTATCAAGAGTTTTCTACCCCCTAGTGGCCAAAAATAGGTACAACATTGATCTGGTTCTTTTCAGTGATGCAAGATGTGCCGGTGGGTTTGACCCTGCCAGAACTGGTGACATTTTAGGTAATGATCAGGACTATTCTGGAGTTAAATAACTTTATTACGACAGATCCTTACTGGCACAAATTGGCATAACTCCACTGAAGTCCACTGCAGTTAAGCTGATTTACACCAGGGGAGGATCTGAGCCATTTTCTGCCATGGTCACTGTTAATTAGGAAACATTAAGAAACTTTTTCAGCTTCCCAACTTTTCAGTGCTATTTTCTCACTTGTTAGTTTTTCCATGATTTTACCTGAAAATATCAATAGTTGTTTTCATGAAAAACATTTTGGTCAAATCACAGAATGTTTGGGTTTTGCCAAATTCACAAAAAATGGTACAATTTTTTCCCACACAGCTCAATATCCAAGGGTACGTCTATACTTACCTCCGGGTTCGGTGGTAAGTAATCGATCTTCTGGGATCGATTTATCGTGTCTTGTCTAGACGCGATAAATCGATCCCGGAAGTGCTCGCCGTCGACACCGGTACTCCTGCTCCGCGAGAGGAGTTCACGAGTCGATGGGGGAGCCTGCCTGCCGCGTGTGGACCCGCAGTAAGTACCTTGTAGTTCGAACTAAGATACTTCGACTTCAGCTACATTATTCACGTAACTGAAGTTGCGTATCTTAGTTCGAACTGGGGGGTTAGTGTGGACCAGCCCCAAGGAACTGCTGTTGTTCTTTATTGCTCATGAAAGATTCAGAATTCTATGGCTCCCATCACTGGAGTACCTAATAACCAGCAAACATTTTTTGCTCACAACAGCCCTGTGAGGTTAGGGAACGGAGGCATGACCTGTGCAAGGCCACGCATGGGAGTCTGGCACAGAACCCAGATCTTCCAAATCTTAGTCCACTGACTTAACCGAGACCATCCTTCCAAATGAGTTCAGCTTGTGGGAGTTTACACAGATATGGTGGAACACTTCCTTCCACTTCCTTACCTGTCCTCCCTTCTGCAATCGTCTGTCTGGATAATATCCCTCCACTAACTGTGGTAACGACCACGGAATAGAGTCCTCCGGCTTTCAGAGAATGGAAATGGTATCTACTGGTCTCACTGGAAACACTCTCATTTTTAATGACAACATTTTCGTGAATCAGCAGCACTTGATACGACTCTACATCTCCCAGTGCCCTCGTCCAGTTGGTGAACAAACTGTTGGTTGCCCCCTGGTTTGTCACATGCAGGCTAGTCACCTGAGCTGGCACTATAATAGGAGAATGTCACAGTATAAGTAAACAGAAACAAACAAATCTCCCAAACAGAGTTTAGTCACACTGAGGAAGTGCATCAAAAAAGCAGACTCAACAGGACTAAAAATAAACTAATGGTCGACTCCCAGACCTGCTTCCTGTCTCATGGACTGTGGTTTGTGGGAAACCATAAAGGCTATCCAGAAAGGTCTCCCAGGCTTTGCTTTCCTCGGTCAGCCCAAAATGAATCAAGAGAGGAGGGCTGGAAAGGATCTCATTTTATAAATGTCATTCAGATAAAAATAAATAACTTAGAAGTCATTTATGTTTGTGAGGACTACTGAACTTGCACAGAGATCAGCCCATTCCTAGCCAGTGGCAAACCAATTCCATGAACGCACAAGAACTAACTAAGGCAACACCTTTCACCACTTTAATTTTCTGAGTTACTGAGACATATAATCTTTCTAGTCTCTCTTGAATTTCTTTTCCTTTGGAAGAATTTCAGAGCACTGACTTTTCTAACATCTAATGATGGATTGAGGGGTAGCAAAATGTCACCTTTAAAATAAATACGGGTTGGTGAACTTGTTCAGACAATAGAAAAAGGCTGCTGAACATTTAGCCCAAACGTTAACAAAAACCCAATGAACCCCTTTTTAAGGTTTGACCAAGTTTGATTAAAGCATGGAAATAAAGTTACTCCTTTTTGAATGCTTTCACATTAGTGTTCAGTCAGACTCCATCTTCCACAACCTAAAAACCATTTAGCTTTGGAAAATTCAGATCCAAACTACACATTTTGCTTTATATCTAGCTCAGAGCCTATATACTATGGCATTGGTCATCATAAATATGACTAGGCATATTGATAAAACAGATCAGATTAGGTCAGATTATACAGTGGTCTGAATCAAAATCTTGAGTCCAGACAGGCTTGGACTATGGGAAAGTCTGGATCTGAATCTGAACTTCGCCTCTCAGGCCCATCTGTGCTCTGCAATGGCTCTGCCCGATTTTTGTGCGAAAGGCTCTTCTAATGATATTTCAGCTTTTGAGAAGATGGCTGAATTTAATAAACTGTGTGCAGCACTTTTCATAGACTTCCATGAGGCCTTTGATTCAGGGCCTTGGGCACGTTTGGGGGTTTTGATGAGGCACCTCAGCCTCCCTGGGAAGATAGTGCTATTGACAGGGGAGCTCTATAGTAGCATGGAAAGCACTACCCAACAGTCACTTCAATTTTGCTTGTGTTGCAGCCCTCATCCTGAGGAAAAGATGGAGTTTTTTTTTTAATCAAAAAGGCAGCAGGATTCAAAATATGTTTTGAAGGTCACCTCCATTTTGTGTCTGCCAACTTTGAAATGTCCCCCTTCAAACAATTCTTTCCCAACCCCCCGCCCTCCCAACAGGTGCATCTGTTGAGGAACAAATCGGGAAGCTGACGTTCTCTAAGATATTAAGTGAAAACTGGATTTATTATCCTCATCCTATGTACATTTACTAGATATTACAGAAACATTTCAGATACCAGTATCCATCAGGAACTACATATCCATCCTAGAAAGCCATGGAAAATGGCAGAAAAAGAGACTGGATGTTCTGAGATATATTGCAAGACACAAAAGAGATTTAGAAATGTAGCATTTCTATTAAGAAAATGTACACAAGTTCAAGGGTGTTGATATCTGGGCACTACTTTAATACGATTCAGTACAAAGAAAGCGACAGGTTAGCAGAAGTTGGGATTAGAAGTGGATTGATAGAGTGTTACCTGTTCTTCCCTCTACTGAAGTCCAGTTGCTTAAATCCCCACTAATGCTAGTGACTGTAGCTGTGTATTTCCGTCCAGGTACCAGATCACTGAAAGTATATTCTTTAGCTTCTTTCACAAGAGCCTTGTTTATGATGGTAAGATCCCTGTATCCCAGTGAAACCACGTAACTGTCCCATTCTGCAACAGGGGTCATCCACATGACACTAAGCGAAGATTCATTAGCATGCTTTACCCGGAGCTGAAGAACAGGCTGTGGAGCTAAGGGAAGAACATGAGTACAGCAATGAGCAAAGGACTTTGCAATAGACACACATGCCACATCTTGACCACGCTGCTGTCAGGAGCTAGGCTAGCAATAAGAGAGTCACAGAAATTTTACTACCAATGGGAAATGGCTTTGCCTGAGGCTGGGGAACAAATCTCACAAAATATCTCTGTGATGGTCTGGTAGCAGCAGATCTCTGACTAGAGGGTTAAGGGAACAGACTTTAGCAAGACATTATGATTACAGCCCCTGATTCAGCATGGGTGTAATTTTTAGCATCTGACTAGCCCCATTTAAGTTAATGAGACTACTCACATGCTTAATGCTAAGCAGCTGTAAACAGGGACATAAAACAATTATACTGGAAAACAGATTAGGGCAAATGTAGCTGTGACAAACAGTCATGCCAGTTACATGTCTGGGGCCACATTCTGTTTACTCTGCTGTACTTCTGGAGTAATTCTACTGAAGTTAATGGAGTGACTCTGAATTTATAGTGGTATATAAGAGCAGAATTTGGCCCTGAGTGTATATTGGTAAATTGATGTGTACGGGGAGGAGGGTGCTGGCAGGGCGGCCCGCAGTGGGGTGCCAATGAGAGGGCTCCCAAACTGAGTGGCATTGCAATCCGGCATCCAGGGTTGTAGTACTACTGCTGAAATATGGCCTTGCAGCCCCTCCGTCAGAATGGAGGAGTTGCCGGGCCAAACCTGAGTGACCTGTGACCTCACGCGTGAGGTTGCAATGCCTGGAGCAGGCAGTTGGGACCAGCCCCGTGTGACAGAAGCTGAGCCACCTCTGTGGGGTAAGTGGAATTCAGGCTCGCTCTCTAAGCCCCCACTCTTCCTTGGGGCTTTCTCCTTAGTGGTAATTTATTTTGGAAGAATGGGGGAGGTGGCCTCAGCTTCAGATTTTGCCTCAGGTGCCCCAAAACCTCTGTGTGGCCCTAGGTGCTGGGCATTCATAACTGAATTTGAGCTTATGGGCCAGATTCTGGTCTCTGTTACTCTGAATTTATACAAGTGTTAATCCATGGACTTCAAAGGAGTTACTGCAGGTTTGCACCAGAGAAAGAGAAATCAGCATCAGAATGCCTTTGACTTTAATTACTCTGGATTTACATCGGTGTGAGATCAGAATCTGGCTTGCTGAGTTAAATTGGTCAGAAAACGGTGGTGAATGCTAAATTAATATAACGTGCACTGATCTGGCATACCATGGCTGTGCAAAATGAGTGCAGTTTATACACCCAGGAAGTGAAACATGAGGGTGTAGCAGGTAAACCACTCAATCAGGCACACCCTGCCTTATCTTACACCCTCCTGTTGATTGCTTTTCCTGTTGCACCCTCCCTCATGCCCCTCTCAGTGTGTCAATTACATTTATTTTCAGGTACAGAGTAAAATCCTACCTATTACACATGAAACAAGTGTCAATTAAGACACATAAACCAAATTCTGATTTGACTTATTCCAACGTGTGACTCCAGAGTAACACCATAAAACTCACCACACTTACTCTGGATATGCATTGATGTAACAGAGAAGAACTGACCCATTGTATATGCTTGCTGGAGCACATAAACTGGAGGTGCAATCCTTACTCCTGAACCAGCCCTAGTTCAAATCAGTAATACTAGCTAGCTAGTAAGGGAAGTCAGCCCACACAGTGCACACACAAACATCCACTGCAGGAACGACAGTATCACACTCATTATAGGAATGTCAGATGTATCTCCAGGAGCATCAGTCAAAAGAAAGCAGCACTGAACTCTTAGAAACCTTGTATAAGGCCTTGGTTCTGATAGATGGGTAATGCCGCATCTGTTTCTGATGCAAGCTGCCCACATTTGATTCCTAAGAGGGCCACTAACTAATCTATATATTTGCTACTACCATCTGTGGTGTGCAGAGGCTGGTGTTTTCTGTGCTATTTCTGTGTTCACATCCACCTGCTTTTTGTTTTCATCACATTCTCATGCAGCCTGCTGAGCTGGTGGACGCTTGCTTCTGGAGTGTTGTTCATTGCCCTTAGCTGCTTCCTTATAGTGAGCCACCTGCCCCTTTGTTCCTGTACCTAGCACACTTATCTGAGAAAGGACAGCTTCTGTAATGCAGGTGGATCTTGGGGCAGAGAAGAGGCTACTCTAAATTAAACCCATGAGACATCCTTAGATAAAATTAGGCACCCTTTCATCATTTACACACTATAGGATGCGTATAAGTGTATTTTGAAAATGAGGTACTCCTCTCTTCTTCAGCCTGATATGCCCTTAGACTATTCTGAGCTCAGTTATACCATTGCAAATGCAAATTATCTCCACTGATGTCAGTAGAGTTAGATTTATGGTGAACGAAGTCTGGCACATACTCTCACATACGGCCGTTTACACACCATAGGATGGCCCACTGTCTTAATGTGTACATCACCCAATTACATCTCATGGATCTGATTCTGCTTTCACGTGCAAGGTAAAACTGGAGTTACTTCCCAGAAGTCAATGGAGTTATCCCAGTGTAAAAGTGGTGTGAGATCCAGATCAGGTCTTTCATGCCTGAACGAATGCAAAACCAGTCCAAATCACCCTGCTTTACCACTTACCTCTTTTTTTTGACCACCTGAAATTTGATGTGCAATTTATAACACTCTTCACACCACCACTGAATTTGGTCCCATCTCTTTTAAAGAGAAGAGTCACTATTTTAAATATTAAATTGTGGCTAATCAAAAGGATAGAACTCCTGAGCAAAATCTGAATGAGGAATTCAGGATTTAGCCCAATAATAAATTAAGCAAACAAACGAATAATAAGAATCTAGGAATTTGCTCTTTCATTTACAATTATTATGAAGATGACCACAAATGTTTTGAGTTAAAATAGTTATCTATGTTCATGTGAAAGCGTTTTCCTAGTGAATCAGTATAATACACACCACTTATTTTAATTTTTTTCTAGCTACCAAAAATAGCCAACTTGAAAGTTTGAAGTTTCATGATATCAGTATAATGAGATTGCTGACCTGTTCTGCCTTTGCAGCGAGCCGTGTTCTGTAAGCCTCCACTCTCCACTATAACTGCCACCTCATATTGTCTTCCTGGGATGAGTCCTATATCCTGGATGACATATTCTCTTCTGTCTTTCTTTAATGTAGTGTTCAGCAGCACAGTGGAGAGGTTGAACAACAAAATGTAGTATCTGTCCCAGTCTCCAGCAGGGGGCAGCCAGCTCACTGTCAGAGACCTCAGACAACCATCACTGCTAGCTTTCAGCTCTGAAACTTTCTGAGGAACTGAAACACAGAGACAGGTGAGTAATTTTGTGGTTTTTTGGGGGAAACATAACTGGACAGCAGTGAAACCTGGCTCACAGCTCAGACATTGCTGAAGTGCTTTGATCAGTTATAGTAACATCAAGGCCCAGATTTTTCACCTGTCAATGGGAATTAGATTCTTAAGAGTTTAAATCACTTTTGAAAATGAGATTTATGGTCCTAAGTCAGTTATGCATTGCAACACTGAACGCAGCAATGCCTAAATACCTTTAAAAATCTGGGCCAAAGTGCATTTTGACAAGGTGTAGTACTCATCAGAGAGAGAAATTTACCCTCTCCTACACAAAGAACTCACTGTTTGTCAGTTACTGACATCAGAAATTTTGAACCCTAAATCAGAGGTTAGCGAAAACCTTATGCATCTTCAGAATGAAACGTGCAGCATTTTAAGTTATTTTTCCTGCTGTTTTCTGTAGTTGTTTAACTCAGATGGACTCTACTAACAATTTTTGGATGTCCTGCAAGTACTCTTCACCCACTTGAAAACTTTTCCAATCTAAATTCTACCAATTGCCAAGAGGTGTAGGATGGAAGTAACGTGGACTCATGGTTAACAGTAGTGTGTGGGTGGGTGGGGAGAACTTTGGAAGACTTTTCAGTTTGATCAATCAGATAAGATGAAAAATACAACTAAAATAAATAAATAACCCAACACCACAAAAACTGCCATGTGCCTTAGGCCTTGGCTACACTGGCGCTGTACAGCGCTGCAACTTGCTGCGCTCAGGGGTGTGAAAACGCCCCCCCCCCCGAGCGCAGCGAGTACAGCGCTGTAAAGCGCCAGTGTAATCAGAGCCTGCAGCGCTGCAAGCTGCTCCCCTCAGAGAGGTGGAGTACTTACAGTGCTGGCGGTGTGACTACACTCGCGCTTCACAGCGCTGCTGCGTCAGCACTGGGAAGTCCTGCGTGTAGCCAAGGCCTAAATCAGTGCTGTGGGCAGTCAAAATGGCTTACATTTAATGAGCTATGCCTAGAACCCGGATCTTGCTTACGACCAAGTTTCATAGCATATCAAATGCTTGGGATCTTAACATTGATGAGTCAGTTCCAATATATATAAACAAACTCTAGAACTGTTGTGATTGAGACCGAAGACTTGAACATGTCTGACTTGTGAGTTTTTTTCTATCCACAGATATATGACCATAGTGGGGCAATGTCGTTATACTTTGTTGATAGTTTTAAATAATTTCACAGTATCTTACATGCATACTTCCATATACTGTAGCCCCATTTTATCTTTCTCTCTGGATGGTGTTCAAAATAATAAAATCGAGCAAAAGCTATTGAATGTTTTGCTACAGGCTCAACCAGCTACTGATGTCTATCTACAACATGGACCACCGCTTCCTTCTGACAGGTCAGCACTGTAGCTTTAACTACTGGCTGCAAGGTTGCTGTAAGCAGACTGGCCAGTAAGGAGTACTGTAAGATCAGCCCAACAATTTTTACCTCACAGAATCACAGACTTTAAGGCCAGAAGGGACCACTAGATAATCTACTCTGACCTTCTGTACATCACAGGCCACCAACACCAGCCAGCACCGGCACACTACACCCAACAATGAAACCTCAGCAACCTCATATTGCCTAGCAACCAAACCCTCTTATCTTCCAACATGATCTTCTACATGGCAATGTATTCAATGGGATAGATCAAAGTGGCTTTGATTACAAATGTTCCTACTGATGCACAAGATTTACCTGTCCTGCCAGTTGCTATCTTGTCAGTGAATAATTCACCAGTGATTGTGCTGACAGTGACCTGATAAAGACTTCCTGGAATCAACTTGTCAAACTGAGCCTCTGTGACCTGGGGCTGTAAAGTTTTGATTTCTTTAATGGATCCAAGATGAGACAGAGTGATATTGTAGAAATCTAGGTTTCCTAGAGGTCTTTTCCATGTAACTTTTAATATATCCAAGCTGCCATCACTCGTCACCATCAAATCTGAGACTTCTGCTGGGGCTAAAAAAACAGAACAAGAAAGGAAACAAAATATTTCACCCAGAGTACACAAACCCCCTTATTACACACAACCTACCCACCCCACTACAGCAGCATGGCATGTAGTTTGATTTTTTTAAAACCTATATTTAAGACCATTTATACCCAAAGTGGCTCTACTAACATTGCTTACTGTAACATCGCTGGATGATCAAATACATGAGTCACCCCCTTATTTTCATTGATTGTGCATGTTGAATGTAAAGGCTGATAATGGCATGCGCTGCTCAAGGTTTTTGATAGCCGGAGAGGTGTTAGCACAATAAAAGCTGTAGTTTGACTGGAGTTATTCCTGATTGACACCGGTGTAAGTGGGATCAAAATATGACTCTTTGTATTTTGACATTTCACCAGAAGAAAAGCAAACCAACAACTCTTACCTTGTTTTCTGCTTGGGTTGTTCTTAAACATATCAAAAGTTACAAAGGTTCTTTTCTTCCTCTTTTGTTTTTCTAAAGTGTCCGCTTTGGCCCATGCTATTCCATGCAGATTTAAATAGCGGGTCACAATCTACTGTCATGCCATATGCATAATTCCCAATGAAGTCAACATGAGTTTTCAGTGAGTCTCAAAGTCAGGACTTCTAACCCCCCAAAAAGGAACTACTGAAATATTTACCTCCAATTTTTCAGAAAACCACTAAGCTCTGCAACTCACATCATTAAAGTCAGTGAGGCTCATGAAGTTAAACCCCATACAATGCTATGAAAGAATGGGGCTGTATGCTGCCTAGATTCATGCATACAACACTCAGCTGGGGTCAGCTGGAGCTCTGCCACACAGAGGGCAGAATTATGAACCTTAGTGTTCAGTTTAGGCCAGACCAAACAATCCCACTTATTATTTTGAAATGCGCTGTATTGCAACCTCACAGTGTTACTATGAGTTATTATGATATCATACCTGTTCTAACCAGTTTAAAGTTGTAGCTCTCTAGTCCTGCAGCTTCAGCTATGATAGTGAGATTATACAGATGTCCTGCTGTAAGTCCAAGAAAAGTGTAGGAAAGTAAGCGTTCCTCATAGTTGATCTCACGAACTGGTCCTTCTTTATCCAGTAATACCAGCCTGTATCGATCCACATAACCAGAACCAGGTAACCATGAAACGTGGATAGTGTCTGTCTTGACACTGATCTGAATGTTTTGCACTGGGGATGGCACTGATGAAATAAAAAACATATGTTTTACAGGTAATGGTTTTCTTCACTATCTGAGCAAGATTGAACTGTTCAACTTTGCAAAGATTTTGAGCGTTTAGGGTTTGCCAAAAGCAAAACCAAAATTGATGACCAAATTGGACCTGTCAACATTTCTTCATACTTAGAAGATGTCTCTTAAAATTAGTTAGAAATTCTTTGTTTACTTCTATTTATAATCAACGCGAACCATTTGTTAGGTTAATGAAGACTGATTACATGCGTAATTTTCTATCTAGGATAAATGTATATCTATATCCTTTTGAAATGCATAACCTCAAAATGTGTGTAAAAATGCTCAGTAGCCTTATTGAGATGCACTACAGTAAAACAGGTCTCACCAGTAGATCCGCTGATGTGAATTGCTGGGGTGCTTTTATTTCCAGCAACTGCAGTGATGATAACATTGTATTTGCTCCCAGGGGTGAGATTGGAAAAGGTCTCTTCTCTTCTTGAAATACCTCCTTGTATTGAGACATTCTGTATCCTTTTATTATTATGATCAGATAATTGTAGCTCATACCAATCCACCTTTCCTGAGGATGGACTCCACAAGACCTGCAAGCTTGTGGAAGTAGTTTTTTCCTTATTAATTTCAAATTTAGCTGGTGGTAAGGGATCTGTATTAAAAATAACAACACAAATATTAATTTAGTTGGGTTTTAGAAGAGTTTTATAGGTTAGCTCAATCAACTCCAACAATTTCCCAGTTTTTCATCATTCCACTGCAAATCTTTATTGAAAATTCTCTCTTTATTCCATTCCCAAACACTATATTCACTGAAAACACAACTAATCTTCCTATAAGTTGGCCCTGGAGAACCCAGCTATATGTATAGTATAGAAAAGCGCATGCTTTAGTGTGTGTAAACGAAGAGTCAAAATCTGTTGACAACAAAACTATGACATCACTATATCAGAAACAGCCCTGCAGTCAGAATGACTCAGGATACTGTCGCCTATAAATATTAGAGCATCAGTGACTAACTTTCAGGCACTTATGCCAGATTATGAGGGGTTTTTTTTAGTTGGATGCACAATACAACACCACAAATAAATGCACAACATATTTCAGCATTTCCCAGCAGTTAAGTTGGACACAAAAGTGTGTAAATTTAAAGTTATTCAAGATGAAAGTACAATTTTAATTATGATAGTGGTTTGCTTTTTGCTATTGTCTTCAGTCAGCATAAGCACCTTCTGACAATATATATCCACTCTTCTACTGGAAGGGTCTCCAATACCAGAAGTATTGTCCTGCACACCATGTCTAAAAACAACAACAACAACAAAAACCCACCTGTATATAGGCTTTTAGAATGTGTACTTTAGAGGACTATTCTTTGAGAACATATCAAATTGATTAAGTAGTCATCCTGGGCGAAACTGCTTGAGAGAAAGCTTAAGCTCCAAAAATGATAGCAAGTCTACTCCAAAATGTACAGACTTTTGATTATTTTATAGTTTCCTGTAACTAAAAGAAGTCATTATACACTGATGCACTAAAGCTCTCATTTGTATTTGGTAACATAGTTATGTTAATGTACAAAAAAGTACTAAAGTTGCAGACTTAAGCACTCAAAAGTTAGGAAGTGACTGAATTCAGTGCCCATGCTGCCTTAATACAGTCTCCTTGTGCATATGCCTTGCCCAACATAACACACAAAGAGTGTGGCAGAGCCAGGCAGAGATCCCAGCTGTGCAGGATACCAGCACCGCATCTTAACCCTCTCAAAACCCATCCTTTTCCCTCTTTCGACCCACCGCTTCATTAACTGTGAACCCTGAGTAAGGCAGGGGCCCTATAAAACAAATGGCAACGTTCATTCAGGCATTTCCTAACTTTTGAGTGCCTGACTTGGCAAATGTAATATTCTTTTAATATAATTTCTTCTACATAAACTTCTAGGTTTAAAAAAAACCAAACTAACACCCTCCCCCCCTAAATTCCATCCAAACCACACTGACCCTTCCATAGGGGTCTGCTTCAGGCTTGCTCTGCACACAGGAAAGTCTGGGCGGTGGAGAAGCCTGGAGGCAGCCTGGTAAGGCTGCTGTGAGTTAGAGCATCCTCCAGAGCTTCTCTTATTGGGGGGACACACAGGCTGCTAGAGCAGGTTGGAATCTGGGAGGCACAATGGTGGTTTACAGTCACCTTCGCCCTCTCTGCTGGGCCTTAAATTTTAGTGCAGCACAGAATGTGGCTCTGAATTTGATTTTCAACCTCTTCTGAAGTGACCTTGTGCAACCTCTCAGTTACCCTATCTGTAAAATGGGAGGAAATGTTACTTGCTTGCCTCCTAAGGCGGGGGGCGTGAGGCCTTGCTCAGTAATAAGGGCTGCAAAGAGCTGAGACTAGAATTCATGGTTTCCATTTTGGTGCCCAGCACAACAGTTCTTGCTAGGCCAAAGTGATGGTGGCAGCTGCTACTACTTTCCTGCTCCCTCCCCATCTGGAACTCTGTACCTGGGAGCGTGCTCATTTGTCTGTGAGGAAGCTCTTTGGGGCTGGAGCATGCTCAGTGCAGATGGACTGTTGAGAAATTTTAACCACTCGCCTTTAAAAAGCTCTGCTGAGCATGTGCAAATGGCGATTTTCCAGGTGTCAGTCTGATATGATAGGAATTTCAGAGGAAAACACAAGGCAAATCTCTGAACCGAGGACTCTGCCGAATTTCAAGTTCCTGCTTCAAACCACAGAGGCACTAGAGCGCTTCAAATAACAGATGGAAGAAAATTGAAATGGATAGAACTACCTATTGTTCTCTTAACCTTTTGGAAACAATGAACTGATTCAGCTGAAATTAAAAAAAAAAAAATCCACCTGAGGCAAAGTGCAAACATAGAAAGTCTCAGGCCAAACAGTTAAAAGCTTGAAAGAGCTGCAGCGATCGAAACAGAAGGTTGTAATGGAAAGTGTCAGGCAACCTTAATTATAAGACTTTGCTACCAGCTCCACCTATAATATATAATAATCAATTAAAGACTATTATCCGGCAAATAAAAAGAATGTAAAATTATTCTTTGAAGGTGATTGGTCAAATTAGAAAAAGTCACCCTTTAGGAGTCAAACAAATACTACCATTGTGTAAGGTAAGAATTTCCAGCATCTCTTAAGTGGAGAAGAACCATAGGTGATAAATGGATCTTTCATCCTTGCTGAAACAACAGAATTAGGATTAGGCTGACTGACTGCAAAAGTAATCAAAACTGTAATCATGTCTCTTACCAAATCATATCAAAGATAATAACACATTATTATTTTATGTGCTACGGTTTCTTCATAATGTACACTGTGCTGGGTGTGGAATTTAATTTCCAAGGTGTATTTTTAAAAAAAAGTTGCGTGCCTAGAAGGTGAAGTTCAGAAATTCAAACTTTATCTAATCTATCTGGCCCAGAAAACAAAACACTCAGTCTTTTGTACATCCGTTAGAACAAAGGAACAATGAGATTGGGAAATGCCTGGGCTCAAAGAGCTCTGGCTGGAAACAAACACTTAAAAAACCATTTACATTGTTATAAAATTCTCTGCTGGCAACTGTCCCACACTGATATATCACAGAAATAAAACATTTTCATGAAGATATTTTTATACTACTCTATAATGAACGAATGCCTTTGAATATATAAAATAAATAAATGTGGGGTGTTAATTTTTTTAAAAATTCTAATGCACTAATATCTTAGTTGTGAATTTTTTTTAGTAAGTGTACTTACTGGACATGCATAGCCCTTGTATGTACATTTGATTAACTGACTAGTTATGATTACAGCTGCAGAGTCCCAAAGACATGATGGATTGTAATTATGGAAACATAATATATTATCCATGAGAAAGATATAATCTAGGATGTGAGCACAGGACTGAGAGCTGGGAACTCTCAAATTCCAATCTCAACTCTTTGTGGCCTTCAGCAAACCACTTAACCTCTCTTTCTCTCTCTCTCTCTCTGTTTCCGCTTCTATATATCAGAGATAATACTTACCTACCATACAGGAATTCTGTGAAGATTAGTTAATGGGCCTGATCCTACAGTCCATAAACGATCAATATCTTTGGGATGAGCTGCATAACATTTTGCTTCTTGTGAGGAATGAAGCCCAAATTCATGATGATAAAACCTTTATATCACACTACACTATTATAGATTATGAATAGAGAATACATCTCTTCAGAGGATTATTATTATTTAAAATTTGTAATGCTTACAGGCTGACTATGTCAGGGTCCCATTATGCTCAATGCTGTCCAAGATACAGTAAATGACATTTGTCCCAAAGATCTCACAATTTATAGGATTACAAGGACGGTCCACCAACATCTGTGGAGTTTATAAAGCCACAGAAAAAAGTAAGGGGGGTTTAGTCTTATCTCCAAATTGGCTTGGAGTCTGACAGAGTTTATGAACTCTGTTGGTATGTTACTAGGGTGATAGAATTTTTATTCAGTTCAAATACTTAACTTTAAAGTGGTTGCTAGCACAGGTGCCTCTATTTGTCAGTGGAACCAGTCTGAGACAAAGCAGTAACAGTATCTACCAGTGTAGTATTTTAGGAGAATACCATAGAATCATATAACTGGAAGGGACCTAGAGCGGCCATCTAGTCCAGTCCCCTGCACTCAAGGCAGGTCTAAGTATTATGCAAACCTTGCCTGACAGGTGTTTGTCCAACCTGCTCTTAAAAATCCCCAGTGATGGAGATTCCACAACCTCCCTAGGCAATTTATTCCAGTGCTTATGTAACCTTATGCTTCCAGTGCTTATGTTCTGTCTCATCTAGTGGCACCGAGACCACTTAAAGAGAGAGATAAAATGAGTCTGCTCTACAACTTTAGCTAACAGAGAGTTGGCTTTTAGCTTATGCTGTAGAGGCTCATGCACTAAGCACCAAAAGTCCCTGGCTCGATCCCGCCTGCTGACGACCGGGGTCTGTCGGCCTTACACTTAACCACCCTGACCGTTAGGAAGTTTTTCCTAATGCCCAACCTAAGCCACCCTTGCTGCAATTTAAGCCCATTGCTTCTTGTCCTATCCTCAGAGGTGAAGAAGAACAACTTTTCTCCCTCCTCCTTGTAACAACCTTTTATGTACTTAAAAACTGTTATCATGTCCCCTCTCAGTCTTCTCTTTTCCAGACTAAACAAACCCAATTTTTTCAATCTTCCCTCATAGGTCACATTTTCTAGACCTTTAATCATTTGTGTTGCTCTTCTCTGGACTTTCTCCAGTTTGTCCACATCTTTCCTGAAATGTGGTGCCCAGAACTGGACACAATACTCCAGTTGAGACCTAATGCCATGTTGTACAATGTATTAAAACCCCATCTAATTATAGCTAAACCTAGTGTCTCTATGAATGAAAATATAAGAGTTAACAGCAAGTTTTAAATAATTTATTCAAAAACTAAGAAAATACCCAAATAAAAACTTCATTAAGATACCTTCAAGATTCTAAAGACCAATTAATTACTTCTGGATTTTAAAATATGTATTTCCCCACAAATTTAAACTTAATTTAGAACTTCCTAATGTAAGAGTGTTTTTTAAATAAGGGCTGGATTCAAAAAAGGACTTAGGCACCTAACTGCTACTTTTGGTGCCTAAATCCCAGAATCAGGCCCCAATGGGATTCACAAGCCCCCTGCTCAGCTACAGCTGAACCCTGTAGGCCTAAACTCACTCAACACCTAAGTTTTTGCAGTAAAAGTTCCATAGGTGCCCATGTTTCTGCCAGTGTGCAGAAAAGTTTCTGCTGCTCCCCTTTAGGTGTTCAGATGCCTAAGCCCCAGTGCGATGCACAAACCAAGGGAAGATGGTTGTTTCCTCCATCTAACTTGCCTATGGAGCCCAATGCAGTTATCTTGTGAATCTGGCCCTAATGTTCTAATTAATGCCTTGAAGTCACTCAGAGGGACTGCTCAGATGTAAAAAGTTAAACATGTGCATAAGTGTTTGCAGAATCAGGGCCCAAGTGTTTTTGTCTGAAAACATATAAAATCCAATCTTACCACCTTTATTCATACAGTGGTCCTTATTCACATTTGAATAAGGGTTACAAGACAGCCCCCTAGACACATATTTTGTCATCATAGATTTTAAAATATCAATAATATTGTCCAGAATATATATATGTAAATGTATATCTTGTACACTAGTTTATATATTTTAAATACTACAGAACTGCCAATATCAATACTAAAATATGCCAAAGCCACAAACTTGATGCCTAATCACATCTGTTATCTTAGGTTTACAGTGCACAATTTATCTGTAGAGCTCAGTTCTGATAAATTATCAGCATTTCCCCTCTCATTTTCTGCTCTCCAAAAATAGCACTACTATCAAAATGAAACAGCAATATATATAATATTTATGCCACATTTTTGGGGAGTGAAAACCAGTTGTAGAGGTACAGATATTGTCTTTTCTAATTAATAATCTGTAGACTAAAGATTCTTCAGTAAACATCGCCATGACAGACTTCACCTGAATGAACCTTTGTGGTGTTTTGGATCAATGTTCTACAAATTAATAGTCTTCAGTTGTCAAATTAAATGGCAATTTAGGTAAACTCTTCTTTCTTGTTTAGAAAAAGCCCTGTCTTTTAACATATAAAGTTTTTCTTTTAATACATTAACGTATTAAATTACAATATCTTAAATTACTTTAAGAATATGATTAAACTCACAAAAGCAAATCAAATTATAGGTTTTCCTCAATTTAAACCTTTTGCTTAGCAATTGCAGCATGTGTGGTATTTACTATGCATTGATCTCACTTTAAATACCAAAGCAGAATGGAGCAAAATAAAGATAGAAAGTCTTTTTTTTTTAATTTTTAGGAGCTTAAGTTAAACTTCAACATTATTTTAACTACCCTACCACTTCATATTGTAAGTGTGAACATTTGACATTAAGGTACAGCATTAAGCAAAACATCATGGGCAAAATGTAAACTCGGCATGAGAACCAGCCTATAAAAGCGTAAGCAGTACTGAATGTTCACGAGAAATTATGTAGGTGGTCTATATAACATAGATGATTTTATACATATCTATATACACAATGGGCCTGATTCTGCTCCTATTAAAGTCAATGGGAATTTTGCCTTTCAGTATAATCTGCCCCAAAAGGTCCCCTCACACAAACACACTCATAGGTTAGTTTCCAAGAATGAATGCCTTTATAGATTCAGTTTCCATAACTTAGTTCACAAAAGTACTGACACTAGAAGTGAGTGAGAAAAAAGTGGGGAAGTCTTCCAGAAAACTAGAGTAAAATGTTGCCCCTAGTGGAAATGAAGGAATAGCTTCTTTAAAAACTGTATATTACTATATATTAAAATGTACTGTATTTTACTGTATGTATTATTTTGCCTTGTTAAACCTTAACAAATCAAAGACATTAATTAAAACATTGTAAATAGTTACATTTGGCAGATAATTGTGTATTTCTATACATAATCCAAATTATGTAAATGGCTTGACTACATTCAGGTGCTGGGTAATATTGCAAATAAAGCAACCTGAGTAGCTGCTTCCATAGGTAATTTTCACAATCTCCTTGAGAGATATGTATAAAAAAAACCCTCTCTCCTTCTTGCTAACTTCTCTGCTATCCAAACCCAACCCTCACCTAGATCCAGGTAAACTAATTTGGAGGATTTCAGCTGTAAACTTTTGTCAACCTTATTACTTTGTATCCAAAAGACGTGATAATACAAATATTGTACACAGATCTGTTTCAATCATTCTGTCATTTTCTTATATTCTGTGAAAGGCTGTTCACCAAGATGGAAATCTGTCAAAAATGATATATATAAACCATTGTCTAAATTAAATATTATTACATAATCAAAACACTTTTCACTTATATAATATATAATCTGCTGTCTATGTTGCTACCTTTTGCTCATCTTCTATTCAAGGGCTATATAAAAAACCTTTACCATTCACCAAAGATTGTGATAGATACCTGCTACTTAGATAAATTAATTTGTTATTTTTACTTTTAAAGTATGACTCATCAATATTAAAAACAGTTGGAGCAATGCATGATATAGATTTAAATTTCTGTTACTGTGGAAACTATTAGTTCTACCAAGCCATACTAAAAATATTTCTTGTGTTGAATATATGCCTATCACACTAGATTTGACTGCACTAGATTGTTTTACCTTGAGTTAATTGATTGCCAGTTAACTGAGTTTAGTTAACATTATTTGGAGAAGAGGCACAGTAATTGTGATATAAAACAACAAGGATTAGAAAGGGTCACTTCTAAGTATTCATCTACTATCACCTTCAAACATAAACAAAGACTACATTTAAAAATTGCAGTGCCTCTCTACAGCTAAAATTTTGGGAAAGGATAAAGGAAGGCATCAGATCATAGACCCATTTAAATATTTTTTAACAACTCTGGTTTGAGTCCTGTATTAGCAACTAGCAGAAGGCTGTCAAATGTTATATTTCAGCAGCTTTTAAAAAAAGAAATATATGAAATTAAAACACCAGTATATGTAAGAAAGGGTCCAATCTTTCTCCCACTGAAGTCAATAGTGCAGTTCTTTGTTTTAAAGCTATAAATTGTTTGTACTTAAGAAACCCATGACATTGCATTTGCAGAATATGGATAGAAAATATCTGAGTATATTTATAGCCAATTATGTTTCCAATACAGTAAACCTATTGAGAACAACTGGTCCTTATGTAATACCACATATATTCCCATGATTTGTATTTGTAGGAAATGTACATACATTTTTATTTTAACTATAATCACAAGTAGTTTTATTTTAGGAAAAGGTATTAGCTTTGAACAGCTACCTGTCAGCTTTCATGGGCTGAAATTGGTCAAACTTATTTCCAATAAAGTTATGCAGAGTAAGACAGTCAGTTATCCACTCTTGATAGGTTCAGTTAGTTTATAATGGAATAGTTGTGTTTTAAATGCAAGCAAATATGCTATGAACAGAGAATCTGTAACGCCTTTGCAGGGCGCAAAGCATGTTTTATGCTGCCATTTCAAAATAGATCTGTTTTGTATTATAATAGTTTGAAATCTATTTTTAACAAAATAAACCCTTTAAACAAATCTAGACTATTCACAGTAAAATCTCCCTTCAAGCCTAGAGTGACAACAAATGGGAAGGAGTTAAAGCATGGGAATTCTACAGCCAGCCTGCTGCAAACGATATAGATTTAAAGTGCCTTTGGAAATAGCGTCAATAATCCTCTGGGACATCATCTGCCTTCTATTTTCCATCATCAAAGCAAGGTCAGGAAAATCAGCTTCGAAATAAGGGGGTGGGGGGAACAAACCACCCCAAATCCCCTTTCCTAGGCTGCCAAAAAAAAAAAACTTTGCAGCACTTCCGCACCTGTCGCCCTTACCTGTTTGCAAGGAGATGTTGCTCGTTTCTGTGTCCGAGAGAGAGAAAATCCTGAGATAATACAAAGTCCCTGCTTCTAAGCCATTGTAGCTGCATTCGTAGGACTCGTTAGTCTTCTGGACGGGATGACACTCTGTGTGCGAGGCGTTGTCAGAGCTGCACGTCAGGGTGAAGTTGCAGAGATTCCCCAAACTGCTCCATTTGACATAGACAGACTGGCTGGAAACCCTCCACTCCGTCAGGCTGATGGTACATTTCACAGGTTCCCCATGCCCCTTCTGGAGAGGACAACACAGACCGCTGATTAGCCACAACGTGCCTTGCCTTCTGCAGCACTCACCTGATTCCCTGAGTCGGTCTTGGGGCCATTGGGGTCGCTCACCAGGTGGGGAGACTTGCAAAGTGAGTCAAGAAAAGGAGACATTGCCCCCCCCGCCCCTGGGTTTTTTTTTGAGGGGGGGGGTTTGCTGCTGATGAAGGCGGCGATGGAAATTCACCTGGGGGAGAGGTGGGCGAGTGGCAGGGGGCACAGGGAAATCTCTGAGCAGCAGGAAAGGGGGGGGTGCAGGTGAGTTGCTCTGGGATGGACTCAATGAAGATGAAATGATTGGGGGGACTGTGGGTTCCCCCTGGCGCCCCTTCCCCCTCCTGGCAGCTCACCTTGATGAGGGCCAGCGCCAGCCACAAGGAGACCCCAGCTGCCGAGCGCAGCATTGCCATCAGTGTTTTATTTGCAATAATCCTCGTAGTGGGGGGGTGGGGAGGATAAAGAAGCGAAGTTGCCAAAAATGGGTCCTGGGTCGAGCCCCCCTCCCCCCCGGTTGGTGCGCGAGCAGCGGGGGCAGCCCTCTGCGGGGCAGGGCACTTGTTGCATGCGCTCAGGGGGGGCCCCGGGCTCCCTGAGGTTTCCTTCGGGCAGGGGGTGCGCAGGGGCTGCCCGCGGCCGGCTGCAGGCTCCGAGAGGAGGAGGAGGAGGAAGAGGCAGCTCGCCGCAGCACTTCCCACGCTGCCATGCTGACCCCGGCTGACTCTGCCTCAGCCCTGGCCGCCGACTTCCGCAATCAAAAGGCAATTTCCTCGCGTCCCTCTCCAGAGGCACAAGGGGGTGGGGGGCAGGAGCCAATGTCTGCGGCAGGCAGGGCGCCCAGGCCGGGCTGCCCCTTGTGCCCCCCTCAGCCTGCTCCAAGACTTTCACTTTCATCCGCTCCTTCCTCCTGGTCCTAAGCTCAGCGCCTCTCGCTTCTCCCCCTTCACTTTCCTTTCCTCCCCCCAGCCCTCTTCCTTCCTATCTTCCTCCCTCATCTGCTTTCTCCCGGGGCTCCTCTCCCAGCCCGGGGCTATTTCTGACTCGGGAGCGACCAGCTGCTGATTGCCCTGGGCTTCTCTCCCCCTCCCCACACCCAGCGGAATCTCTTATGTAAACCGTCTCGTTTCACACTTGCCTCACCCCGGGTCCCATCCAGTTCACTTTCCCAGCCCCCCTCCTCCCCAGCCAACCTGGGCTTTACACAGATTGTTTTCAAATCTCCTTTCCCATCTGTCTAGCGACTGGTGGTGTCTCTGCAAAGTCATCATCTGGATAGTGCTATTTTCTGGCTAAGTTTTTCAGCCCCTCCTTCATTCTCTCTCTGCCCCACAGTGTCATTTCAGAGTGCCCAAGATTAAATACCCAGCAGTCAACATATTCATTCGTTATTTTTCTATCATATTCACACCAATCTAATCTCTACCTGTAAGAACACCAAAAATAATGTCAGGCTTTGTATGCCCTGGTATTTAATTTCTCCACAACTCCAGGGATGGAGGAGTAACCAGTACATCAAAGAGGGCCAAGTTAACTCCGCTTCCACCCACCCTCAACTTTTGTCCTTGAAACAATCTCCTTCCCAGTCTCCGAATAGCTCTGAAACTAAAAATACACACCACAGAAAGCAAGAAAGTCTCCAGATTCTCAGGGAACAAAGAAAATGAATTTCATACACTAAAGAAGCAGAAGCAACAGCAGAACCCACCACTTCTCCTATTTATTCCCATTTCCTTACATTTACATTTCAAGCCATAGCAAACAAGGGCTGGGGGTGAGGGAATATACCTAGAATTGTTTCACATCTTCAGTATTAGGATAGATAACAAGCTAGAAGCAGATTGGGTAAATTTGGAGTTGAATAGAGAAGAAAGATAGGATCCCCCCCTTTACACAGGATGTATTATATTTCTGCATTTTCAGTACTATATAATGTACAAGGGTTTTAACTTTCATGATCAACAATTAAGCAAGTTTGTCAGCAGCATTGTTACATTTTCTTCTGTGGGCACTGACATGAAAAAATGCCTTGAGTTAAAAATGGCTATGTTTGTTAACCCTCTTGGAGGAAGAGGAGGGGCTGCTGGATATTTCTGTCTATTGTTAGAAATAAGTGATTGGTCTGATAAGCAAGATCCAACAGTGTGAAAAGGCCAAACTTCTAACAGTTTTACTCGTGCTGAATAGTATCTTGGTCTCTGAGCCCACACTGAGCTTTCTGAGTGTGGATTCCCACACCTGTACAAAGCTCCATTGATTCCAGTGAGACTGTGTGCAGGGGTCCACTGATGTAAAGCTCAGTATTTCGATCAACGCGTTATTCTGCACATAGTCCCATTGCAACAAATGTGGCAGAATCTGGCTCAAAATGAGGGACATAAACAATAAATTGAGCAGCAACCCAAACACGATATCATGCTGGATCAATTTCAGTGACATGTCTAAAATTTTTCTATAACCACAACTATGATTCATAAGCGGTAGTGATAATATTAGTATTATTTTTATTTACTATTTGTATTATGGTAGTGCTAGGAACCTCAGTCACTGACCAGGACCCTATGGTGCTAGGCACTGAACAAACACGGTACAAAATGATGGTCTCTGCCCCAAAAAGCTATTCTAAAGTGATAAACAGTAGTGTGATAGGTAATACGCAGCATGTGTGTTAGAACAAAATAAATGTAGATCTGAAATGATTGAGGTACCTTGTTAAAATCAATTCAAGTTGAGTGATGTCTGTTGCTGCACTAGCCACTCAGACTTTCTGATATTACAAGTTTCAGAGTAGCAGCCGTGCTAGTCTGTATCCGCCAAAAGAACAGGAGTACTTGGGGCACCTTAGAGACTAACAAATTTATTTGAGCGTAAGCTTCATGTGATGAAGTGGGCTGTAGCCCACAAAAGCTTATGCTCAAAT